AATGAAGCTGGGTCAAAAGAGCTGAAGGCATCCTCGGCCCATGCTAATGGGAGGAACTTGGGAATATCGTCGAAGCGAAGGTGTTCATTTCTTCCATTTGAGATCGGAATGGTATCGGATATGGTGTAACGGCTAACATTGCCGCCTCTCAATTATATAGGAACGCGGCAGCTCGGGGTTCGATTCCCCGTATCCGAACTTTTTGAGGGCGTTTCGTTTCCCGTTCTCACCAAGTGAGGGACAAACATATATACGGAACACCGTCATTATTTTCAAGGTCACTCATCCCTTTTGTCCATAACTGACCGCGTGCGTCCCTTGTTGTTGAGTTGTATTTTTCGGTTATATTTTTAATCATAAGATGGATGACAGGTCTGGGTATTCGAGCGAAATTTTTCTGATCTGGCTCAGTAATCTGTTACATACAATTGTAAATCCAGTCGACGGAATCTGCAGATGTGGAATGGGACTATGTAAACCCGTCCAAGAACAAAGCAATCTAACCTATTCACAGGAAACCACAACGAACATAAAGGACGACTTGCGCTCATAATGAAGCTATCTTCTCCAACAACACCTTCCTCCCTTTCGCTTGCCCGCCCTCCACCGCTTCTCGAACGTCATCTCCAAACCACCCCTTCACCTCCTTTCTAACCTCTTCACTTTTCTCCCCATCTCTGATCAACGCCTCACACATCTCCGCTACCACAAAAGCTCCATTTCCTTCGCCCAAAGTACACATCCCAACCACAACGTCCTTCCCCACGATCTTCACGAGCTCCTTAGCAAAAAGATTAGCATCCCAGTTCGGTGCTAAGTCGACGGTTTTGCTTGTGTGATTAAAGTGGCCGCCTTGAAGAAGAGTTTTGTACAGGCGGGAGGTGTGTGGGAGGTCGATTGGATGTGGAGAAGAGGGAACTATGGAGGGGTAGGAAGTGGAGATGGCGCGAAGGAGGGATCTGGAGGCGGAGGTTTTGTCTGTACGGGATATTCACTCAAAATCATGTCCAGGGTAGGGGAGGGAGCGACGTACCTCCATCAGCGAAGAGCATGATCTCGGCTGCTACAAGACTACCTCCTGGCTCCTTTATGATATCCTCCGTGTTTTGCTCCAGCCAAGATAAGAGAGCCTCACTTGCGTATTTTCGGACCTCCTCCTCGCGCGCTTCAGGTTCCTTCTTACTTGTCCGAGACCGTACCTCGTCTGTTTCGGCGAGGAGCGTGATCTGAACAGGCGTGAAATGGCGTCTTGTACGCGGTACGAGTAGGTAGAAAAGGGCACGGCGACCTTGGGGTGAAACGAGGAGGTTTTTCGCTGGACCAGTCATTTCTGCGATGAGAGACTTAGAGGCAAGTTTAGTGTCGCTGCGTACCACATATAAGAATCAGAGTAGACGAGAGAACGGTAAGATAACCCACTCAATAACGTCAAGGGCCGTGAACAGTACCATTTGCGCATCATCATCAAGACACATACGCTCAATGTGCGGCTTCAGCACCTTGAGAATCTGTTTCCGGTCTTTGGCCGTCCCATCTGCCAGAAACTCCCTAACAACGCGGCTGCCGTCCTTGGTGTGCACCATTTCAGCCAGGACTTCCTGACACGTCTCAAACATCTCCCGGCGTAGTTTCTCTCGCTCGGTTTCATCAGGAACGTCGTTGAGGGCAGATAGGTACTCCCACAAAGCACGATGTACGACGGCGTGTGTTACTGCGCCTTTATCTGGGTTGTTAAAGCTGCGGGAACGGATAAGTGAGCGAAAGAGTGGAGTGTCAGAGTCCACCTACATTGTAAAAAGGTTCTCTTTCAGAGCGTTTAGGACTCTGCGTCTTCTCTCGACATCCGTACCTTCCAGTACACCTCTCAGACCCTTCTTAACTTTCTCTTTTTCCTCGTCACTACCTCCGGATGTGGTGAATAACACTGTCTCCTTGCCGTAGAAATCACGAAGGAGAAGAGTCCGCTCATATGCGTTGGCATACAGCTCAAACGTATCTGCGAGCACCGATGTAGCCTCTCTGTGTAGAAGGAGGCGAAGGACATTGCCCTGGAATTCCGTCAAGATAGATGCCCGATGAGCCGGACAGAGTCGAATTAATTTTGTTACTAGAAACTTCATACTGTGTCAGAAAGGTACAGCATGATATATCTAGAGCAGGACATACTTTGGAATACTTGTTTTGGGCAAGTTCCTTATATTTCCCATCGAGCTCCTGGGCAACCTCGTCTCGCTCCTTTTGCCGACCGTACTTCACCACGGTCTGCACTATACGGCTCGCATCGTGCTTGAACACGATCTCCTTGACCATTCCGCGAATAACGTTCATAAGGTCCTGAATGTGTTTCTGTCGTTCGGCCGTAGGTATATTTTTTTGTCGCGCGAGCGACCACACGCGTTTTGCATCGTTAAGTAACGACGAATGTGGCTTCGCGGCTCGCCGCTGCTCATGCAGAGCCTTTTGTACCTTGTGGGATTCGCGAGAGGCTGAAGTAGTTGAGTAGATAGGTCAAAAGTCAGCACCATGGATGACGTACCGTTTGGATCTTTCGGTTGTATTGGTTTGGTTGGTGCTGTATCTGAAGTATCCTCGTCCATGGGTTCGTCGCCTACGTTGTCCATGTCCATGAATTCATCGTTGTCTCCTTCAAGGTCATCAAATTCGTCGTCTGATTCCCCAGAAGCCGCTGCAACAGACACTGGTGCAGTCACAGGCCGACTCCGTTGTTTCTCAGCTATTGCAGGTTTCTCGAGCTGTACTTTCTTGGGTTTAGGTCCAGTCTGTGTATGTGCCTGTCGTTTCTTCAAAGCAGGCATGATACAGAAGAGGAAACGGACGGAGGGGTAGCTGGAATCGCGATTTCCATTACCAAAACTTTTTCGATCAATTGCTATTTGGCAAATGCTTGAACAATCAATACGCAGATGTATGACGTTCGCTTTTTGCTTATGATCTTAGTCAGATCTACAGCGTTGCTCACCGTCATGTGAGTCGTCCTGCATATTTTTGACCGTCACTTAACGTGAATTCGAGGCCACCGAGAGGTGGATTTAGGAGGAAAGCTGCTCTTGATGGGGACGCGACACCGTTGACACCTGTAAGGATGGGTCAAGTAAACTTTAGTGAATCTTGCTCTAATGCCTGTGACGAATTAGTCCTTGGGTGAACAACTATCCTACTTACACAACCCACGACCATTTAAGAACCCAAATTACACCAAGAACATCAATCGACGTGCCAAGAACGTGAAGAACGTTCTGAGTCAAGAACGCGAACGGGACCGTTTGGAACGCGAAAAGAAACGGCAGGAAAAGTTAGACGGCGATGCTATGGATGTCGATGGAGAAGCTCCCGAAGAAGATTTGCCTTCTTGTGAGTTTCCACTTCAAGCATCGTTTCGTTTTACCTACCAGCAATCAATATTATTTGCAGACACGTCTATTGAGGCACCTCCATCCTTGCTCCCCCACAAACACTATTGCGATATAACTGGACTGGAGGCTCCGTACACGGATCCAGCGACTGGCCTTCGTTATCATGACAAGAGCGTGTACGATGTCATAAAGAGTTTGGTAAGTCGTGGTCTGTCCTTTTCGGGTCTTACTTGACTTTTCCTTGAGAGTGCAAGTTCTGCAAAAGAATATCTAGCAAGTACGCTTTGTATCCTTATGTACGGCTATGGTCCAACTCATCCCATCCTTTCCAGCTCGGGGTGTCAGTTCCATCGTCAAATAATTGTTATACGTATTCCTTGCACTATGTTTCTCATTACTATGGACATGTTATTCACCTGCTATGCTTTCCTGCACCTCTAATTGTTCCAACGTAGTGCAAGTTGTCGGCGTGTCCAAGCCATATGGTTCGATCCATCCATCTATTCTGTTGTGAGCTTATCAGCTCGGGCCTCCGTATATCTAAGTGTTTTTAAGATTCACCATTTCATGCATCTATCCGTCTGCGACAGTTTTGTGACGATCGCACAATTCTTCATTCCACCCTGAATGGAACGTCCTTGAATAGGGAGTCATGGGGTGACGACTTGTCCATAATATAGGTTGTTGTGGTAGTTCAATTTCCATGTCTTGCACCGCTCATTCGTTTTATAGTAGCAATGTATTGCTGTTGCAGCTCAGAACATTTCTTTGTACGACATGTCGATTTCAATGAAGGAACTCCTATGGCAGGGCCTGGGTAAAGTCATGCTTTTTATCGTGACAGCCACCAATCATCGTGTGGCATGCGACTCCCTATCAGATTATGCTTCCATTCCACTCTGGTTCTGTCTCTAGCGATTCCCATAACGTCCCACTGGCGAAGACATAAAAACGTCACTGCACGAAGAAGTTACAGACAACTTCACCGCCAGTAAATCTACTACATAAAAGCATGGTACTCCTGACCTCTATTTCTCTTGTTTTTACCTGATTTCATCTGGAGGCTATGGCATCGCTGTTTAGGCTGATCGAAATGAAATGTCCGCCAGTTGGATGTCCGTGACGTTGGCAACAGCGGCTTTGACCCAGCATCTCCAGCGTTACTACCTCAAGTTGTCAATGCTATAACATCTGGTCCATTTGGGACGATACAAACGCTGGGAAAACATGATGATTGAAGCACAAAGATGTCACTTGAAGGTTCTGGATTGTCTGCGGGCACCATTTTATCGAACAAGCTTGCCATTAATCACCGCAGCAAGATTCAGACTGAATCGTAGCTCCTAACGGTGATGCCACATACACAGAGTGAGCTCAGTATTGTAATTGTATATACCTGCCTTGTATTCAGTTGTTTTTCAGGTCCTCGTCAGATACTCGGATCCCACTACTTCTCAGCGCAACAGTCCGCATTGTTCTCTACTTTTAGACAAGCGGCATAGCGTTTAATGACATGATGAATGACACAGCATGTATGATCCAAGTATCTTCAACTTGCTCGAAGAACAATTGCGCCACTCACGTCATGGTCAAGGATGTGACCCCAACAAACAAAATGCAAGACATGGCGCTATAGCCAAGTGGTTACGGCGACAGATTAGAACCTATCCACTTTATCTGTTCCTCTTTGAGGGCGCAGGTTCAAATCCTGCTGGCGTCGGAACTTCGAGATGGACATTATTTTTTTCACTTTCGGTTCAAGTTTTGGGTATGTTCTACCATATATTCTTCGGAACTCTTGACATACGCCACTTCAACTAGTATAATTATCCTTTTCCTCAAGAAATAGTGATGCCATTTTCAGTGCACATACTTAGCGAAAAAAGTGAACACATTGCCTGCCGCAAGGCACCGGACTCTGATGTCCCATTGACTCTCAACTACCTCTCAATCCAAAGTCTGCCTCACGAGGCCAACACAGCCTGTCTCGTCGCTGCCACTAGAGTCCGGCTCAACCGCCGTATCCCATCCTGGACGCGTCCTTGATGGCCCCGCCTCGTCAACGACTTTCCTCGCTTGTTCCCCAGCCAACTCTGTCGCTGTCGCTCTTGAGGCGTCCACCTACATCTGGAGGGCCGACACCGGCGCCGTCACCCAGCTCGCTGACGCTCCAGAAGCTCCAGCGTCGACTTCTAAAACGACGGCGCCTTCCTCGGTATCGGTCTCGGCATAGACGGCGTCGAGCTCTGGGATATCTAATCCGCCCAGAAGCTCAGCACCATGGATTAAGTTGGATGTTTCTGATAAGTAAGTAATTACTCATTTTTTCCATGTTGACTGCTCGCATTATGCGTGAGTCGCAGCGACAGCGACTCATACTACGCTTGTCGAGCACCTGCCAAAGCTTGACAAGGCGAGGGAGGATCTCTTTATTGGTCGTAAAGAACGAGTCTTTGCAATGACGAAAGTGTGCTATTCAGAAAAGCAGAAATTACGCTGCAAACCTGGTGCCCATCATTTAAAAGTTGATTAACATTGACTACAGCATGAAAGCCTATCCTTGATATCGAAGGATGTCTAACTCTGTTACGAGAAGGCACCATCGCGAGGAAGAGGTAGTTATTGAGCTCTACAAGATTCGGCCATCCTTGAAGACAGGCATTTTGTATGATCTACCACTATCCATTTCTGAGAGACAGCTCGATACAGACTGTGATAATTGGCCGGGAACTCATGCGTACATATATACTAACGGACGGCTGGGCGCCGGAACTTTCACGCTTGTCTCCTGAGTCCTTCAATCTCGTGCAGTCTTCCATAATTCCCGATGATCGCGCGTCAGTAAATAATTTCCATTTGTATTAAAAAGTCGAAAACAAAAGAAAAAATTGACATTACTTTCGGCATATTCATGGCAAAACTTGTACGATGATCTGGGTTGTACAAACTTTATACATATGTCCTTTAGCTTTGACTCTTTTCTCGGTTTCAAATGTACGTTGTTCGATTGCGATCTTCAATTACCATGCCTGATACCCTCCACTAACAAAAATGCTAACAAGACTTGTCGGTCATTTGAATAAAATGTTGATGAACGCCACTCACTTGCTTCCAGTACAAAAACTAGATGCATCACTCGCCAACCACGCAACAACGCCTCGAAGTTCATCTGGACGACCAATGCGGCCCACTGGTGCCCGATCAGACCACCTCTTCAATGTCCCTGGTTGCTTCAGTAATTCTTCAGTCATTCTAGTAATTCAATGATGTCAGTTCAAGTCCAAAAACAGGAAGTAAACACAGACGGGCTGCGGATGACTCCTGGAGAGATTGAATTCACGCGGATCCCTTGACTTCCGAGCTCACATGCCATGCTCCTTGTAATCTGAAGCACCGCTGACTTGCTTGCACCGTATGCAACTGCATCTTCTTCCTGAACCCTCTCTGTCAGCACTAGCCTGTCATTTGATCTGAGAACTTACTTTCGCATACTCATGTCCAGCAATCGATGAAATAAAAATGATGCTCCCTGGGTTGCCGAATCGAAGCATCTGCTGTCCTGCAGCTTGAGCCGTATATAATGACCCGCTTATGTTTGTATCGATGATCTTCGGTACCTCAGTCCCTTTCTACTCTTTTCAGGAGAGAAAAAACATACCTCTTGGTAAGGACCTTCAGGGTAATCGATGGCCTTCTTAATAACCTTGGGAGCAATACCTGCGGCCGTGATACACACGTCCATTCTTCCCTCTTTGTCTCCGATAACTTTCACCTTATCCCACATTCCTCTCTGGTCTCGCACATCAGCCGACACATACTCAATTCGACCACCTAATTTCTTCACAAAGTACTCAGTACTCTTCCACTCCTTCGATGGTTCTGAAGGCAGGTCAAAACAGTAAATCGCCCGCGCTCCTAATTCGCATAATGCGAGAGCCATCTCCAGGCCGAGACCACGATTGCCGCCAGAAACAATTCCTACTCGATCTTTGAGAGAGAACTCTTCAAATATCTTAGGCCGTGGCACTATTTTTGGATCGGCAGCTGCCTGGATTGCGGCCCTAACGCCTAGTGGAGCCAATGGTGAACTAGACTGAGCCATGGGCGCCTGTAACATGGCAGTGGTGGTTTGGAACATACGGCGACATGGCTTTTGCATGCGCTGAAAGTTCAGCAGGACTGGGGTAGCAATACTATAAAGATTCCTGAGTGGGATCATTCGCACAGGCAGCTGTTTGCAAACCACAAATGACGCTTTTTATAGTTAATGCGACGTGTTATCTAGTAATTTCTCACATCATGCCAAAAATGAAGGGAGGCTGGTAAAAGATCACTGGTCATTGAATGATAACCGTTGGGAAAACGTACACATAACAGGTCTAAGATTATAACCCAGTTACATCCCGGTGAATGACATGATGGACTCCATGGGGAACGTTCGAAGCTTTCACAAGATTTTGGGCGTGTGAATAAGCTAAGGTACGATCCCGGCGTTTGTGAAAAAACGAGCTACATTTCTTTCATCCATGTTGATGATCTTGTCATTCTCATCGAGGTCAACGACGACAATGCAATCTGAGAAAGTATCAATACTTGACAATCAGAATGTCTTACCTACTATTATTTCAGAAAGTGGTAGGTATATTCCGGCGATAGGTAGAAGACGAGTCGGTTCGGTGAATATGGAGACGACATAACTCGCATTGGAAACCTCTTTGATTCCGAGGATAGTTCAAGCTCAAGAAAGCTTGATAGACCCAAGGTTGAACAAATTCAGCAACCATAACATGGCAGATCACTAAGACAAGAAACACCGATTGGGAGTAAGCAGAAGGTTGTGGATAAAATATCGAGCTGAAGCTGTGATAATTGTGCTACTTCCTCTCATACAACGACTGCTGGCCCATTAGATATAGGCGCTATAGCCAAGTGGTTACGGCGACAGATTAGAATCTTGAAACTATCTGTTCCTCTTTGAGGGCGCAGGTTCAAATCCTGCTGGCGTCGGGTGGACATTATTTTTACGTCAGTGCAGGGGATCACCCAATGTATGGGCGTCCGGTGATGAATCAGTCCACTAAGAGCCTCGTAGGCGATGTCATGCTGCAGCAAACTAGCGAGTTTGCTGCAATCATGCCATGTACGGAAAGAAACCTCAAGTAATGATAGTTATCCAGCATTCCGTATGAATAGAAATGGGACTACTGCATTTGCGAATGAACGTTGAAATGTGCGGACCCCAACTCGCGGAGCATGTATCTTGGTTTGAGCGTAATTGCGCGAAAACCTTCTCAACCCGTAATCCACTCACTATAGCTAGAAGGGCACTGAACATTTATTGACACTCGTAAACTTTTATTTCATGTGATACCTGTGGTCAAAGTCGTCAAAAACAAGACAAGAAAATAAAGCAGCACGGAAGGACATTCAGTTAGAGAAAACAAGTCAGGTATTACAGGATAATCAGGAAGAGGCCTGACTGGATTAAACGATCCGCGAGGACAAGGACGAAAGCACCGCGGCGATAGGCAGTACGTATGTATGTATAATCTTGAGATCAGGGCGCATGAGTGTATGTATGTACGTATGAACAGATTGAAGAATGTTGTACGGTGTCATAAACAGGCCGCAGAGGCAACTGGGCAACCAACGCACACAGATCCATATCACCAACGCAGACATGAGAATGGAGGTGTGACAGGGATCAAACGATCACTGAGTCTTGCACTCTTCAGGATTAGCATTAGCATTAGCAGCGCCTTTTGGTGGCCCACGACGCCGCGCGGGAATGTCTGCATCCTCATCAGAGTCCTGGAAAGCGGAAGAAGGATGTTAAAATCCATTGAATGGACAACTGAAATAGAAGAATTACGTCTTCAAAGGCCCCGCTCTCGTCATCGTCATCATCATCTTCAAAATCATCCTCGTCGTCCATCACGTCGTATTCGAGTGCTTTACCAGTAAAGTAGTCGATGGCACGAGGGATGACCTGGAGAGGGATTAACAAGATGAGATTGTAAATAGTTATAGGTTCTTACCTTTTCTTTGAGATCTTCGCCCATCTGGTAATCCACTTCGAGCTTCTCCTCGATGTCCTCGAGCTCCTCCTCGTCAATATCACCGTTCTCAAGAGCATCCTCGGCAGGAGGCACGGGCGGACTGAAAAAGTTGAAAAATGACTCCGTAGGATGTGCCTTGCGCACAAGACGCGTTCGGTTGGTAGCTAGTGGTGAGGATCAGTAAAAAATCTTTCAAGCAAAAATAGACAGTGGATATTGACTCTTGTTACGCTGCTTTTTTATTTCAAACTCTTTAGTGAGATCCTGATCTTCCTTCCACTTGATTTCTGTACCGATGGCGCGATCGTACACGAAATCGCCTGAGTAGCCAACTTCCTCCTGATAGAAGTACGTCTTCTCGAGGACATCATTCTCAAAGTACTGGTTCGGGCTGAACGTAAACAGAAGCTTGAAGCCAGGCTTACCACCCTCAGCTTTATCATTGAGGTACTCAAGGCGAATATCAGTGAGGTGCTTGAGTGCATCGGCATCACGCTCGGTAATAAGCTCGGAAATTCCGAGATGGTTTCGGAGAGCAGTGAGCCAGAACTCAGGAATACCACTTGCGGTGGGGTCGGTACCCTTGGGGATGGTGACATACTCATCATCGTCCTTGATAGAGTACTGCTCGCCAGCATCAATCTCCTCCTGCGTAGGTGCA